CTGGCATTTGTAACACCGTTTCGGTCTGCAGTAGGGCTTGACTGGCATAGTTACCCACGCCAGTTGAGCTTCCTTGGGTAGGGTGGAGTGGTGTCCGATGAGGGCAGTGGTGTCGGACAGCTTCTTCACAACTTGGAGCTGCTGCTCCTTGAGGAGCTCACTCAGCTCTGCTTTGTCCATGTGGGCAATTTCGGCGTGGGAGATTACACCCAGCTTCAAGTTGTCCCACATGTAGGCAAACATTTTAAAAGGAATGCCATTGATGTCTGGGATCTCCGCGAGCTGTGCGGGCATGCCCTTCTCGGCGAAGGTGATCTTGATATCACCATGGAGCTTTAGACGCTCCACCTTGGTGACCCCCACGATCCCATTAGCTTCGAAAAACTTCTGGAGAACTAGGAGGTTTAGTTTCTTGGGGCAGGTCGGCGTGTCCGGACGTATCCGCGCCACGTTAACAAACTCGTAACCGTTCATGGTGAGGGAGAGAGAGTGTGTGAATGCGTACAGCCAGAAGAAGAAGAAAGAAGAAGAAAGAAAAATGCTAGTGACAGGGGGGAAGGAGGTTCAGAGGAAGAATAAAGGGAGGATGGAAGTGAATTTTAGAAGGAGAGAACAGGTGCAGTGGCTAAACACCGCTTGCGTGAGGGGGTAGGCAAAATGCCCTGAGGGTGCAACAACAACAACAATCAGGACGAGGCAGAGGGAGGGCGGGAGCAGGTCCGAGCAAGCAAAGGGCCAACGCGGGTGTTCTGATTGTCGTCTTAGCTCGGGCAGTGTTGGCAGAGCGTAGGAAGAACCGCCCCGCCACGGCGGCGGCGCAAGCCGAGAAACGCAGGTGGACGGACGCACAGGCACACACGATCAAAGTAAACAGAGAAGGTGAAAATATAGAAATTTTGCTAGTCGTAGGGTTGTTTGGATAAAGATGAAGGTAAAGTCTTTGAGCTATGTCAAAGAGGAACGGAGCGAGTTGGAGGAAGGGTTTTTGAATCTTTGAGCTTGAAATGTCAAAGTATTCATAGTAAGGAAGGATGAGCGTATCGTAGGAGAGTTTTTAGTAATAGCAGCAGACAGATTTGAGCTTTTTTGTCAAATTATGAACGGAGACGAGAATGAGATATAGGCTGAATGGTTTCAGTCTTGAGTTAGGTCGATTTTATTGAGAATTGGATGTCACAGACGTTGGGTATGTTTTAATTTGTTTCTGAGAGTTGTGGGTCTTTCAGCTATGTCAGAGAGAAATGGAGAGAGTTGGAGGAAGAGTTTTGAATCTTTGAGCTTGAAATGTCAAAGTATTCGTAGTAAGGAAGGATGAGTGTATCGTAGGAGAGTTATTTAGTAATAGCAGGGGACAGATTTGAGCTTTGTCAAATTGTGAACGGAGATGAGAGTGAGATATAGGTTGTTTGGTTTCAGTCTTGAGTTAGGTCGATAATGTTGACAGTGGCTGGTATAGAGGTTGGGTATGTTTGATTTGGTTTTGGAGAGTTGTGGTGTTATGAGAGGCTTTGTCTGGCGGGGGTGGGGGAGTTTGTGTTTGGGGATTGGCGGGGGTGGAGGTTGTATGTTGAGTTGAGGTGAATTACTTTTTTGCTTCGGGGGGGTTGTTGTGTGAGTGTGTATGCGTTTGCGTGGAAATGTAGTAAGGGGAGAGGGGGAGGGTTAGGATAATTGATATAAGGTCAGGTATGGTTCGGTTGTCGGGAGGAGGGGGGAGGAGAGGAGAGGAGGGAGTGCTTTGGAGGTTGTTGGGTTAATTTCTAGTATGGAAGGATTCCTTAGGGTGTGATATGATTTGTGCTTAATGAATAGTTGTATTGAGTCATAGGTTTTTTTTTTTTTTTTTTTTTTAGGAGGGGTCGAAGGGCTTGTTAGAAAGGTCGGGTATATTAAGTTTTTCTTTTGGGAGGATTAAGGTGTTGATTAGTGATTGGATAGTGAGTTAGGTTTTTTTTTTTTTTTTTGGAGGGATTGTGAGTAAGATTGGGTGGGTTAAGTTTTTCTTTTGGGAGGATTGAAGGTGTTGATTAGTGATTGGATGGAGAGTTAGCATTTTTTTTTTTTTTTATAGGAGGGATTGTGAGTAAGGTTGGGTGGGTTAAGTTTTTCTTTTGGGAGGATTGTAGGTTTTGTTAGTAGTTGGCAGAGTTGGGTTAATCATTGCATTCTTTCTTCCCTTTGGCTAGTAAAGGACTTCTGCAATTGCGGTAGGCTCTTGCAGGTATTGTGAGTTCTGGCCCCATTCTTGAGGGAGAGGGTTTGTGTACAGGTACATTGCACCCCTCCCCGACCTTATTGGCTAAAGGAGGCGTTCAATGTCGTCTGCAATTTGGTACCGTTTTTATTAGGTAACATTCTTGAGGGAGAGGGCTTGCGTACAGGCACTGTGGAACTCTCCCCGACCTTATTGGCTAAGGGAAACGTACATGTCATCCGAGTTAGTATGGGATGGGTAAGTTAGGTATTTGTTTTGGGAGGAGTGATAGGGTGTGGTTAGTTAATGGTAGAATGGTTATTTTTTATTTTGTGTGGGATTGCTAGTAACGGCTGGGTAAGTTAGGTTTTTATTTTGGGAGGAGTGATAGGGTGTGGTTAGTTAACGGTAGAATGGTTATTTTTTTTTTTATTTATTTATTTATTTTATTTATTTTTTTTTTTTTTTTGTGGGATTACCTTATTTAGGTATGTTAGGTTTTTATTTGGGGGTTGTTAGGGTCTTTCTTTCTTTTGTTTAGAAGTGTTAGTGCAGGTTGGTGGGTTAGTTTTTTTATTTTATTTTTTTTTTTTTTTGTCGGAGTGGTCTTTGAGTTTGAGTAGGTGGCGGGGTTTTGGGTAGAAGGGGAGGGCGTCGTTGGGTGAGGGTTAAGGAGAGGTTAGGTTTAATTTGGGGGGAAATTGTTGGGTGTGGTTATAGGGAAGTTATTAATACAAGGGAGGTGGGAGGGGAGTGTTTGGTCTGTTTAGTATGGAGGGATTTCTGTCTCTGAATCTGCGTGGGAGTATGATGTTGTCGAAATAATCCTCCCATTGAGGGTAAGTAGTGAAGAGTGATTCTATTTGTTTGTCACCTAGTTGTCTCCAGTAGATGTTAAGTGGGGGGACGGAGCTGAGTTCATGTAGATGACTATTTCGGGTGAAGGATGACCAGTGTGTGTTATGGATGAATCTTAGTGCTTTGTTTTGAATGACTTGAAGTTTCTTGGCGCTTGATGGTGGTGCTAGCTGGAGTGTGTTAGGTGCATAAGTCAATAGTGGGCGTATGAGGGCTTTGAATAGGTGTGTTTTGGTTTTGATTGATGCGGTTCTGAATCTGTATATATTCCCGAGTGTTTTGTTTGCGATCAAAGCCTTCATATTGGTGTGTAGTGTCATGGTGAGGGTGTCGTTGAATGTGACTCCTAGGATTGTGATTGTTCGTTTGATATTAGTCGAGGGGTGGTCTGGACAATTTTACCGACTCCGACTCCACAGCCCTGGCTTCAGCAGCCACCTCCTACACTGATTTTGTCACACAGGTAACAGAACTTATTGACACAGTCCAGGGATATATCTCCAATGTTGATTTCTCAAGGCTTACCTGCACATACAGGACACTTAAAGTCAATATCCTGTAGTCTGCCTTCTATTCCACTGTACTTCTTGTTTACCCACCTTCCATACACAATGCATATTATTGAGTTACTCCCTACACCTTTCTTACTTTTAATCACGAGTCCCTCTCTTAAGCCCTCTGTTTCTACTCCATCCTTCCATTTCCTAAATTTCTCCAACTTCCTCTTCAAAATTAACTTCTATCAGCACTAAGTCACTGGCTTGTGATACTGTCTCTTGCACCATGATAAAGAGGCTCAAGGCAGACTCCTGATGAACTCACTTTATTGTCATCACTTTCTTCACCATTTACTCTCACTTAAATTTTTGAGCCCCCATTGAATGCCTTAACCACTCAAATGAGACACTCCTCAAATCCTAGCTTTCTCATTGCCCACTTTACTACTTCACTTATTATCTTGTCAAATACCTTCTCTAAGTTTACAAATACGTAGTACAACCTTTTCTCCTTCCTTAGATATCTATCTTGTAGTTGCTTGGTCTAAATATTGCTTCTCTAGTCCCCCTACCTGGCATGAACCTAAACTACATTTCATTCATGTCCAAATTTCTTATCTCAATTTATTGACAACTCTTTCCACAACTTTCATAACCTGTTCTAACAGCTTTAGACCCCTGTAGTTCCTGCATTCAAGCGCATCATCTTTACCCTTGTAAGTATTTATGATCACACTCTTCATCCAGTTGCCTGGAACATTACATTCCATCATGATTGCATTCACTATTAACACACCTACATCATCTGACATTTTTAGCATTTCTGCACCTATTCTAGAGCTTCCAGCTGACTTTCCATTCATCATTTTGTCAATTGCTTTCTTCACCCATTGTTTTGCACTCCTTAGGTATGGTCCCTGTACTACTTCTTGGTTACCTTTCCCCCATTTGTACTCCTCATTCAGTTATCAATGATGGTTTTTCTTTCTCCAAGCTTCCTTGATTTACTTGTCAACAGACATAGTATCATCATCATTTCTCATGCTCTGCTCACCAACAACAACAGTCTTATTGGGATTCTGTCACTACCACAACAGACTCCTTAAAATTTGGAAGATTTATGGTTTATTATTAGCATGCTGTACAGTGTACGTTAATGTTTTGTGAATTATCTTTTTGTCTGCTTTGAATACAGTACAAATATTTCTTCTCATCTATGCCTCAGTTAGCTTTATTTGAATTTGAATTCTTTGTGTTAACAACTTGCAACACAATTTCAGGGCAATATACGTTGTGTGTGAGTACATTATTTTTTGGGAAGTACCGATAGTCTTTTTTCTTTTCGTTTTTTCCCAAGAGTGGGCATTCCTTCCTGACTGTTTTGACAATGTCTGAGCTAGTTTTATTGAAGTTGAGGATATTCATGTGGTGTGTTCATTTTTGTTTTTCAGGTTCAAAGAGATCAGCACACAGCAATGCTTACTTCTATGGATTTTTTAAGAACAAACGCATTGTGTTGTATGACACATTATTGGAGGAATACACTCCGCTCAATGAAAATGAAGAAACCAAGGAATCGGTCAAGGAAGACAAAAATGGCAAGAAGACTGGATGTAATACAAGTGAGGTGTTGGCCGTTTTGGGTCATGAGCTTGGCCACTGGAAACTCAACCATGTTCTTAAGTTTATCATTATCTCACAGGTGAGTGGCTTTATTATGATAATCATTAAATTCATTGTGTGTTTGCTCTTCTAATGCACAGTAACTGTATTTGTTTTTATAATTGGGAGAACAATCCTATAAAAATTATGTTTGGGGTAAATAATTAGTTCTATTGTTTTGATTTATTAATTTTTTTCTTCTGTTCTGCACCTCAACAGTTTAGTTCAGATTAGATGCACAGATGCCTTGGTTTCTTTCATTTTGTTGTTTTATGTTTAGTGATTGCATTACTGTAATTTTATGTCTGCACTGTTTATCAGGGAGTAGGGATCCCAGTCTTCCTATATATTTTTGTGTGCTTTCCTATACAATATTTATACAGAATTTTAACACTTCTGTTTGACAAATCTATTTTTGCAATATATTTGGCTAGAAATATAGTGAACCTTTGATATAACATGACAGTGGGACCAAGAATTGTTGTGCAATCTTGAATCACATTATATAATTGTCTATCTTAATCGGAAATACAGTAATCATTCCTTATAACAGAATTCCTTTTAGCAGATGTTAAATTTACCGGAACAAATTTTTGTGGATACACTGTCCCCTTGCTTAACATGGGGCTTATGTTCCTGAAAAACGTTGTGTAGAGCAAACCCATTATAACATGGGGAGGTAGGGGATGGGTTAGGTGGACCCCAGAAAGACCCCCCTCACACACACACACACATACATACCAAAACCAAAGTTCAAAGACATTGTGCAGCTCTAAAGTAGCTCACTAATACACATACATCTACCAATTCCTCAACGACAAATAAACTACCTAACTAATGATAAATAGTACTCAACTACTGTAACTTACTATCTAACACATTAAAAACATTAACAAAATAATATCTAGATGAAAATATGCACCCAAAACCATTAAAGAAAAGCTGAAGGAAAATTTAACAGTGGCCCCCAGAACCCCTCCCAAAAAACTTGGTAAAAGTCTGGACAATCAGCAAGCCTGGACCCTCCTTTCCCCCCAAATTGTCCGGACGTTCGGGGGTTTACTGTATATTTACTTATTTATTTGCCAACCAAATTTGGACCCTCTGGGTAATTCAACAAAGGTAGCCCTGAAGTCAATGAACTAGAGGTGTTCAATTGTATTATTGAAAGTTATGAAGTCTTAATAAGGAAAAATGTTTGAAAATCAGTTTGTATATATTTCTTATTTTTTGAAAGAACTGACATCAGATTATGACATCCTTATGTAATAATGGAATTTATAAATTGTATATGCGTAAGTGATAAAAATATGCCAAATATGAGTTTTGCTCAAAGATATAGCAATTGTAAAAATTCAATTTCTTTTTCAATTAATGAATAGAAGGAGTAGATGGAGCAACAATACTGTAATGTCTTGTTGCATTAGACTGTTACCAAAACTATTACTGGGAAATTTACAGGAGAAATATGGAAATTGAGATTTCTATTAGAATATCAAGAGAAGGCTGTTCACTCTTTTCCTTTGGGCAAATATAAATTATGTATTACTGTATTATGTTGTCTTTGAAGATACAGTCTTATAAAATAGTTCAAAATGTTATTAATCTCAGTTGTTTATTATATAACCACCACCACCACTTGTCTCGTATCAACCTTTTTAGTTACACCTGTTTTAATCATACATTAGATTTTATCATCTTGTTCATTAATTTAAAAATGTTAAATCTTTCTATTTACAACTTTTATCCCCATGAAAGTGTGGGACTTGGTCAAAATACTTAAAATAATGCTTAAGTAATAATTGTGAAGCACTTTTCAGCAGAATGTGTGAAAGCAATAGGAGGACCACTTGTTCCCTTGGAGGTATGGCTGGTAATGAATAAGGATTAAAGTCTGGCAGAATAATATGATCTACCAAGAAAAAAGGCAAAATGCACAGTAGCTTTTGTGATGTCACATGCTTACCTGACCTTCCCCCTTTATCCCCAAGGGAAAAGCATATGCTTCCATATACTACTACTTAAGGTTATTGCACCTGGGAAGGAGGACTAGTCATCTAGGCTTGCCTTTATGGTATAGTGCATGCATAAACTCAAGTCACTTTGAGAAGCACAGATGGCCTTGAAAATTTTGAAAATAATTATAGGTTTTGATGAAGGCTTTATTTTTCCTGTTTGTATATCAACTTCATTGAAGCAAATGTAAATGTTTTAAAAGTGACAGCATAGATGATGTAGTTTGTAATTTTTTGTATGGTTTCAGGTGAACCTGTTTTTGGTCTTCTCAGTGTTTGGTTCCCTGTACAAGTACTCTCCACTCTACCGAACATTTGGATTCTATCAGAATCAACCTGCATTTATTGGCCTCATTATTGTCATGCAGTTTGTGTTTGCTCCATATAACGAGGTAAGAATTAAGTAAAGATTTCATCTGTCTTCAGTACATCTCTAAAAAATATTGGTCCATTAATGAAAGGTTCTCATGTCTCTTCTAGTGCCTTGGATGGATTAGTTGTTTCCTTGGTAAGTAACTAAAATGGGGGAAAGGTGGCAGTTATGCTTTCAATACACCCCGTCACATCATACATGAATTCACACTGATAACCAGTGAAAATCATCAGTGATTTGTAGACGTCTTGTACTGTACATGTATATTCTTTAAAAATTTTCCCCTTTTGTTCTATATTTACATGCAGAAGTATCTGCAAGTCCTCTTCCCACTTTATATACAATTGAGGCAAACCTTGGTTTCCAAACATCTGCCATACAAACATCCATTATGCAGTACTTCATGACCATGTTTCAGTCTTTCAGAAATTCATTCTGCTAATACGAACACAACTTTTTAAATCTTACCATCACTGATCAGTGAAACATAGGAATTCACACAGGTACAGCTGCTCCTCGACTTATGACGGGGTTAGGGACCCAAATCCAGGTCGTAAGTCGAATTGGTCGTAAGTCGAAAATGCTTAAATAATACATAGAAAATCTAAAATGGGTGTCTCTTTTTCTTCTCAGCACCACAAAACTCTCACTTTTAACCTTGCCAGCCATTTTAAAGTGAATTACAAACAAAAATTTTGTCAGTACACAGCGCAATCACTAACGTCGGGACTCGAAAATACGTAATTTGACAAAATTTTGGTACGACTGAGGCAGTCATATGTCCGGGTGGTCGTAAGTCGAGTAGGTCGTATGTCGAGGAGTAGCTGTATTCTTGAAATATTCGTTCCATCGACAGACACTCAGAAGAATTCTTTAACAAAATTTATTTCCATATTATGAGGCTCTGACATACCAACTGTAGATACACTGCTTCTCACAGGGGAACAGGACTACAAACACAGGATTTTACCTTTCCATTGCAAAGAATTTTTTATGCATAGTGGAGGAAAGAAAAATTCCTCCAAATGGAAGGAATAATTGGTAGAAAGAAGATTTTTAAGAATGCCAGTGTAAGACTCTTGAATGCAGGAAATAAACACTTTGTGGGTATACAGTAGACCCTTGCTATTCGCGAGGGATAGATTCCAAGAAATGGTGCGAATGGCAAAACCGCGAATAGCAACTTATACTACCTTAGTGCACTACCGTATACTAGCTGCTCAGCTGATCGGCTAGTCTTGCAATAAAGTAATCGGTTTTATGTTTACATTCGTTTCCAGTGGAGTAAATATCAAGAAAGTTGTGCTCTTGAATATTTTTGCATTTTTTATAATAAAATTATTGGTTATTATGAAATTTAGTTAACATATTGATAATATATGCATTACAGGGAACAGTTTTTGTGCGCCCATCAGCTGATCGAATCACCCACCAACGCTTCTCAAGCTGAATGCTGGCCACCGTCTTGAATGACGTCACAGTCCTCATACCAGTTACAGTCATTTCTGCTACAACATGTGTTTTGTCATCGCAAATTGGTTGCAACGCGATTGATGAATAGGGGAACGCTGTTTGTAAAACGCGAACTTTTGCATACGAATGTTGCCTATAGCGCGATTCCATTCTCAATGTTTTGATTCCTTCCGGAAAGCACAATCGAGTCAACGAAGGCAGAGTTTGTATCATTTGGAGGTTATAAATGGGAAAATCATAGGTTGATGTAGAGTGGCCAGTCTATATTGCTATTTCTCCCATTAGTTTATGTATTTGCATTTGGCACAATTTTCCAGTCTATATTACTCACGCAATACAAGACCTTACTGTACACTAATGAATTTCAGGAAACTGCGTGTGATCACAGTGAAGGAACTCAACGTAGTTTGGTTCAAAGCTGGAAGTGTAACTGTTGGTTTGATCCATGAAAGAGTGGGTGAGATTGTGGAGACATTGAATCATAGAAAACATGATATCTGCTGTGTACAAGAAACAAAGTGGAAAGGTGGTTCAGCCCATGCCCAGAATGGAGAGAGTTTTCCTGGAAATTTTCTGGCTCAATTTTAATTCCGGCTATTGGAGAGTCCTTGGGACTGGGGATTTTGGCTAATGGGGAGATTATTGTACTGCAGTAAACTCCCTCTTACCTGGACTTGCTTAATCCAGATCCCCGTGCAAACTGGACTAGGGTCTAGAACTGGACACATGTATCCCTAACCTGGAAGAACACAACCAAAATCCGGTTAGTACAGAGGAAAGTTCATGTAAGTGGGAGCTGCCACTGTGGTGGAGGTGGTTGCTAAGGAACACTAAAGTGTCTAAGGAATAAAAATAATGCACAGTACATAGTCAATGAAATAAGCAGTGAAAACATAACCTCGCCACCTTTGATAACATACAGTGGGGTATGCTATAACGAACGGATCCTACTACGAATATTCCTATAACGAACGGTTTTACCTATAAAATTGAGAATGCTATAACGAACGAAACTCCTACAACGAACATTATTTAATTTTTTTTTTTTCTAATTTATTGTTTTTTTATTACAAATATTAATGATATTCTTTATTTCAGGGGTTTAGATGCATATTTATGCACTTTTTTACAATTTTTACAATTTTATATTATATTTTTCAGTGTTAAGTGGTTGTATTTGGGGGCCTGGAACGGATTAATCCTATAACGAACTAATGCTATAACGAACAAGGTTCTAGAACCAATTAGATTCGTTATAGCATACCCCACTGTACATTGTTAGTGTCGTACAATCACTTCCTGCCTCAATCTCCTTATTTTAATTTAATAATAATTACAGGTCATTATTAATATGTACTATGTGTTTCTATATTTTATAAATTTAGTAACAACGTATACCATATGAAATACACTTCTACTTTGTACAAGTCTCTTATCACTCCCATTAATTTTAGGCTGCTGCCATGAGTGAAAATATTTACGGTTAGCAAAACAGTGTATAAAATTGTATCCACAAAATCTGTTCTAATTGTTTTTGATAGATGAATTTGGTACCACAGTGATCCTGAAAAAATTCTTTACAAGGCTGTTTCAATAAAATATCCTCAACAAAATATTTCAACACATACCGTATAATGATGGGAATTTAATTCTTTTATGGAAAAAATTTAAGAAATGTTTATATATTAGTCTATAAAATCAGTTATAATTAAGTTAAAAACACCATTTTCTTAACAAACTGATCATGAATAATTTTTCTAAAAGCTTGTTTAAATAAATATAAAACAAACACAAAAAATCTAGTGAGATACGGGCCATCAAATGACATATTTTTGGGGTGTGAGGCTTTAACCTCCAGAGCAGAGCATCACAGCTGAGTCAGTAAACACTTCTGCCAGGCGTATTAGAGCTCCTGGCAACACCAGATGCTCAGTGAGATGGTGCCTTGTACAGCTGACTGCCAAGAGCGTATGCGAGAATGAGGATTTTTTCCCCAACAGATGTAATATTTCTTTTGTATCTTTATTTTCTATTTATTCTTTAATTACTCTATATTGACTTTTCTCTTTATTTGTATTTTTTATTTCTTTACAGGATTTCTCTTACCTTATCCCTTATCTTTTCTTATTCTTGTTCTTATTTACTGAAACAATTAAGGAGGGTACAGGAGGAGAGTGATAGAGATGGGGTGAGTGATGGAGGGAAGGAGTAGAGTGAGAAGGAAGTGGGGGTTGCTGCGTCGTTTAGACTCGGGAAAATTTTCCCCAATGCAGAGTGGAAAATCCCACTGTCTTCACTGTGAAACACAGCTCCATTCATTCCTCACATGCCTGTATCATATATCTTTTTTGTTTTTTAAAATACATTTATTTACCCAAACTTTTAGATAAACTCTTTGGGATTATTTTTGTAAAGAAATTATGTTTCTAACTTATTGAGAACTCATTTTATATACTGTACTTCATCATCAACATTTCTTACTTTTTCATAAAAGAATTGAGTCCCCATCATTATATCGGGTCGAAATATTTTGTTTAAAGATCTTTTATTGGAACAGTTTTGTATCAAAATTATTTCTGATGCTGTGAATAAAAGTTCATAGTTACACTTTTACACTAGCTGTAAATATTTTTGCTCGTGCCCACAGTCTAAATGTGATGAGACAGTGTATGTCCGTGCGAGATGAGATGATGCGATACGTAGTTTAGACTTTCTTAGACTTTCGGAAAACTTTCCCCAGTACCCAGAAACATTCCAGGGATGTGGGATTCTTCCAGGTTTGAGAGAGTTGTCCCATAACCCGGGAATCTCTCATCCTTGGAAGAGCTCTGCACCAATTGTTCCAGCTAATGGGAATATCACTGTGGGTGTGTGTTTTGATAAATTACAAGTTAAAAGAGTTAAAATAGGAATTCAGAAATTGTTCTTGGTGTTGAAAAGTTTTTCAAAAGAATTTATTTTTCTAAATCTACAATTATTGAATATACTGTACTATGTACTGTACTGTAACATGAAGGTTTTACTATTTTTTAAACTGTACAGTATTTGTTTTTCAGATTTTGCAGTTTTTGCTGACCATGTTTAGTCGCTACAATGAATTTCAAGCTGATGATTTTGCCACAAAACTTGGCCACGCAAGAAACCTCAAGTCTGCCTTGATTAAACTTAATGAAGACAATCTAGGTTTCCCAGTGTATGACCCACTGTATTCTGCCTGGCATCACTCACATCCACCTATACTGGAAAGAATCAGGGCACTAGAAGAGAAAAAGAAGGAAGATTAATTCCTAAATGCAGACTAGAACTTAATTCTAATAATAATTTTTTCTCATCCTGTGTTGAATAAGGAAAACTGTGTGTTTTGAAGAAACTCTATTTGGCATTAATATGTACATATTATAAGTGTACTGTACTGGTAATGTTGGAAAGGTAAGCAAGTACCGGTACCTTGATATTTAATTTTCTTCTCTACCAGTTTTTGTGATGTGTATATTTTTGAGACTAAAATCTAATTTTTTTTGACAGAATAATTTGGGTAGGTAATTCATAATTTTCAAATGAAAGGAGTAATGAAAAGAAAAGTACAGGTAGTGTATCAATTATCCGTGTCTCAAAATTTCATAAATTTCAAATCTTTGGCCATTTTTAGTTAAGTGCAGTACAGTAGTTCAAAAGTGCCCAGATTGTTTGAGTGAACATTCTTAATTAGTACCCAGATTTTCAGATAGGTGGTACAGTTTGACCTTATCTAATCTGGCCACATTCTGACCATGGCCAGGCCAGATGATAGAATTTTCCATTAAAAAAGGTCAATATATAATGGTGCATTAGCCTAAGCTACACTTAGCCTAATGCCCTGTAATATTATGGGTTTTTCGTATCCATATTTTACATATAATATCATAGTGAATAAATTTAATAAACAAGTAATGTGACAATAATATGTGATAAATGTATAATTAATGAAATAAAAAAAAATAATGTAGTAATACTGTAAGTAGACTGCATGCATCCCAGGCCATTCTTGGTCATAGGGCAGTTACAAACATAACTCACATGATTGGGTGTTTTCAATTTTGTTGTTGTTGTTCTCACACCCATGCATCCAAAAAGGAAATATTTTTACAGAAACACTCATAATTGACCAAAATTACCCGGTATACAGAATGTAATATCGTACATTTGTTAGATGACCACCCACCACCACCACATCCACCCTGCATCAGTTAGCTGGCACATTCATTTACATCTGTTAATGTATTACTTGTACCACTTTTATGCTACTACTGTAAAACAATAAGCATTTAATAATTGTAAGAATTCATTAAAGAATTAAATTTTTTTGGCAATGAATGATTTATTAAGAAAATTGTTCGTTGTATTCTCCCTCTTTGCCAGTCATCAGCTGTTGTTCCTTTACCACATTCATGTTTTTGACATTGTCTAATTTCACCACTAAAATTAAAGTTTTTTTTACTGTTTCTAGTTACAAGGTGTGCTTGGTGAAGCACTGGAAAGTTTTTATTGTACCGTTCTCACTTTGCATAATTTGGGGTGCTTTCTATAGAAATAATTGCATACTCAATATCTCCATTAGCAAGAATGCCTCTTAACTGGTACTCTCTGTTAGCTGGAATTTAATTTTTTATCGGAAAATCATTTCCAAAGCTGGAATTTTCCGGAAAATTCCGACTTTGAGAAAAAATTTCCAAGGGGCACATTTTCTGGAAAATTCCGAGTACCGTACCTGTAAAATTCTGGAAAATTCCATGGATAAAAATCAAGCACATTTTCTGGAAATTTTGAATCAAAATTTCCAGTCCTTGGAAAATTTTGAAAAATTTCCAGGGATGGGGAATTCTTTTCCGGCTTTGAGAGATGAAATACAGTAAAGCCTCCGATAACAACAGTTCGACCAACACCTTTTCATATTTAAGACCCTAGTTAATTTAAGACCAAATTCAATTTACATCCTTATTTCATACGTATTTATGACCAAAATATAATAAAAATAAAATAAAGTGACATTTTCATATAAACAGTGTTGCACGCGTCAACGAAAAAAAAGCTGCGCCGCCAGCGTCAGCGTAAACGGCCATGAAATTTGATGCCGTCAGCGTCGGCGCAAATGATTTCATAAAGTGACGCCGTTAGCATCAGCGTCAACACTTAGCGTCAATGAGTTTTCAGTGACGTACAACTGCAGCCCTGAAACGCGTATTCTCCTGTGTATGGGAGTAACATATACAAAATCATAAAAAATATTCTTTCATTTTTAATCATTTAATGATTTATATTATATAATTTTAATTATTCATTTGTTCCCCGCAAGAATACTAGCATCTCAAAATGCTTGTCGCTCATTCTGCTGCGCTTTTCCTCAAGACGTCCTTGCCCATGGAGAATATGAGCTCCACGGCAGCACTAGAGGGGATGGGGGTGTTGTATTTGATGAACAACTCCCTCATGGCCTTGTCGGTCGTCTTAATAACAAGATAATTGAAAATCGAACTTGGAAAAATAAAAAATTTTAGAAGTTAACGAACAAATTGACGCTTGACGCTCCGCTCGGGTGAAAAGTTGACTGCGTCACCTTCCCCCAAACTTTATGGCGTCAGTGTTAACAAAAAGTTGCCGCCGTCCATTGACAGCTTTGAATTAACGACGTCAACGTACAACACTGCATATAAATAATAACTAAATCCCCTTGTGCAAAGAAGCTGCCTGGCTAATGAGTGGTAATGCACATCGCCAGTAAACAACAGTCGGAGCTTGGTGGGCCTTTTGTTTTCACGCATCTGAACAAGAACGAGAAAAACTTAATCAGATTTCTTACAGCATTTTTGCATCCCTATTCAACATGAGCAAGAAAGCAAGTGATGGTAGTGTTGTTTCAAAAGGTAATAGAAACTAGATGTGTTAAAACGATATGAAAAAGGTGAGAGGTCTGTGGATATTATATGGAGCAAGCAATTAACATATTTTCTGAAGTGGATCCATTAACAGAACAAAGCATTGAAATTTAAATAAATGCAAATGACCTCTACATAAAGATGTATAATGAGAAAAGAAAGCAGCTGTGCAGGGTTCTTTCGACAGCTTTATTATTCGAAGGCCTAAACCATCAACTTTAGCAACACCATCAAATTCAGCATCATAAGCAGCTTCAACATCAACTTCAGGTTCAGTAACAGTTTCAGCAACAGCTTTATGGAAAGCTACAGCTTCAGCCAGAGTTGAACCCACAGCTTCAGCCAGAGTTGAACCTGATGATTTCGTCATCTTAGTAAAAGCTTGCACAATATTCATTGGCTGTCCTTATGTTTTAGACTTTACCACCATTGGTGAGTAGAATTTTTGTTTTACATTCGTAAATATTATTTAAAACATATATGAACGGTAAATAAGTGTTGCTTTCATATTCATATGTAGAGAAATGACGATATGTTTTCACATTTACGCAATTACTGTTCATACGTTGGCGTTTCCAATCGTCTCGCTTTATTTCTTTACCATTAGTGGTTAGTTACTTCTAGTGTTCCATTTATTAACATTAAATAACATTACTTAAAATACACATACAGGTATTCAATTAAGTTCACTACAGCTGCAACCAGGGTTTTCCAGTTTCTTATGTTGAACCACCGTCACTCGCGAAAACAATGCTGTCTTGTCTCCTCATGTGTGTTTTAATATTCTACGTATTATTAATGAATTGCATTGTTCATTTCACATATATAAACATTAATTCAATCAAATATATTCCGTAATAAACAATAATGAATCTTTTGTACATATTCTTAAGATAGATAACTATGTTTCCTTGAGTGCGCACGTATACATTGGCGTTCCACTATCAGTCTCACTTTTTCCTTAATATCAGTGGTTACTTCTACTGTACATTAAATAACATTAATTTAAACATACATATTTTTTACATTAATTTTGCTACAACAACAACCAGCGTCTTATTTTCTTCAGTTTCAGGTGGATAACTGTCATTATGGGTGTAAACACTGACAACAATGCCGTTTCTTATCCTCTTGTATTATTAATCATTGTTTTGTTCATTTCGCATGTATAAAGATTAATTCAATCAAATACATATTTCAGTAATAAACAATAATGAATCTTTTGTACATATTCTTAAAAAGCTAAATGATGTGGTATCCTTAAATGCGTACGGATATGTTGGTATTCCCAATCCATCTCTTTTTTTTCTTTGCCATTAGTGGTTAGTTACTTCTATTGTTCCATTTATTAACATTAAACAACGTTACTTAAAACATATATATTAATTTTTTTACATCAATTTTACTACAGCTACAATCAGGGTCTTATTTTCTTCATTTTCTCGTGTAGAACTACCGACCCGGAATCCCGGCTGTAAACACAAACGAAAACAATGGCGTCCCATCTCCTCATGTGTGACCATATTATTATTATTCATTTATATTGTATAAGGTGCATTCAGAAACATTATTTAAAGAATATAGTTTGTAATTTTCATTAATTGTACATGTATTGTTTTTGGGGAAAAAGAGGGTAAAAAGCCACACAAAAGATCTGAAAAGGTCACACTTGGGAACGCATCTCATTATTATTGCTTTAATTAATGGTAATTAATGATTCGCAATACGATGATTCACCTTACACTGCAATATTGGAGGACACATTACCGTCGTTATTCGAGGCTTTACTGTAATGCATTACAGTATTCTAGAAAATTCCGGAACCCGGACAAATTACGGGGATGGGGGATTTCTTTCCAGGTTCAAGAGGTGATATAATGTACAATTTCGGGAACTTTCAAGAAAATTTTCCCGGTACCTGGAAAATTCATGGGATGAGGGATTTTTTCCATTTTTCAGAGATTTGTCTCGTTACCCGGAAATCTCTTATTCCTAGAAGTGCTCTACACCAATTGTTCTGGCTAATGGAGATATCACTTGTATATGTAAACAATTCTTGCTTTTCTCTCCATCTTAGAAGGTTCTAGTTTTTTATGTAGTACTTATTTTAAAGTATGAAAAACATTTTTTGTATGGAACCTTTAATGTTTCAATATACCCTGTACAACCATAATATATGAAGACAAATTTATGCATAAAAATTAAGAAGCTTAATCATTTTAAAGTACTGTAGTACACTGAAGTGTGCATGAACCAATATCATACATTTTGCACAGCTTGTGAACAGTCACTGATCAAACTTCAGGAGCTCTATTTTCTCTTTTTTAGTTATTGTGTATCATCCTCCTGGGAGAACTAGAGCTTATATGAAATTATGTATTGTGAATTTGGGGTACAGTATTAACTCTCTATACTGAAATATTATTGGCAAGTATCCAGTTTGGTATAAGGAGGTTTTCGGTATAAAATTAATTAAAAAAATTCGTCTAATACCGAACTTTGTTCAATATACAGTACCTGTACTACTGTATATGAAAAAGTTTGGTATTTTTAGTCCAATTAAATTGTCACAATATTAATTTTTATTATTATTTTTTTTAATATAGTTTGGTAATATAAGACAAAAACATCACACAGCATCTGTATGAGTTTATCTTGTGTGAGTTAAGGTAAATAGTTTACTTTAATTTCTATAATATCTGAGATAGGATAAGGAGTCCCAGTCTGACGTAAGTTAAAAAAATAATAAAAATAAACTAAGGAACTAATGGAATCCATCAAGAATGCATCACAACTCAAAACATAACACTTGTTGCCAGTCAACTGTGTTCTGTAAGATGGCTACGCATGTTGCCTTTATTACAAGTAAAGCAACTAGTATAAAAATTTTGGAAAAATAATTTCTTCACTAATGTGATTTAGAACTAAATTAAATAAATTATAGGACTATAAAATAATAAAAATTGAAGAGCATTTTGTTTATTCTGTGTGGGAGTTAAACGTTTGTGTTGAGTCAGTGGGTGGTTGTCAATAGCGCCTCTGGCCATGATGTGGATATATGGTTTTTGATACTATGTTTCTTTAAATAACTGTTTAAAGGTTTACTAAATAAATGTCAAATGAAGAAAGTTGATATGCTAATGAAAAACATATTTTTCCTCGAGCGGTGCGTCATTTGCCGATTGCGTGGGTATTGGGCCATATCACAGGTTGTGATTCAGTTACTTTCAAGATATTATGGGTGGATGACTGCATTGTGTAAACAATTAAACAAATTACTAATTATGAATTACAGTACAGTATAATGTAAATAAGAAATAATTAGTTAAGCATGTCAAAATAATGAATTGTACAATAACAAAAAAGTTAATCAATAAGTAAAAAAGTTATGATGATGCACACTTACACTGAGACCGATGAGACTTATTT